CTCTTCTCTTGATTCCAACATGACTTTTCCCTTTATCATAATAAAAACGTAGGATCCAATCGAGTGCTTCTGAGATAGAGTTATGAGGTAGACGAGTGAACATTTGTTTAGGATATTGCGGGTCCGCTACCAATTTTTTTAGGGGGCCGCCCTGGACCTAAGGAATAGGTCCATAGTGCCCCCCTTTTCTTTTCATAAGTTCTATTTCAGCCACTACAGGACTGGCCTCCTATGGTCCGATGTCCAGACACCAAACCCTAGACTTACTGGATGGCAGTCCAGATGTCCACCTGGCAGAGATCCGAAAAAAATGCATTTTGCCTCCCCGCTGCGCCGCGCCAATAGTGGTGCTCAAGTTCGTACGGGAGGGGACCTGAGAGGACTTACCCAACTTGTAGATTTTGTAGAATAGGTGCTGCTCCCCACCAATAGATTGGAGCCACGCTAGCACTCTTGCATCCCACGGACGGCAGGGCCTGCCCGTCAGGTCACGCTCAAACCTCAGAGAGATGGCAGCCGTGGTGCCCAGCCATCGAGACGTGGTTTGAGTATCACCACCCTGGGCCTCACCGGCCCAGAGCAGGTACATATCCGCGTAGGATGATGGCGATGCGTTGACGCCAGCGTAGTGGGAAACAGGTGAAGGAAGAAGGCGATCATGCGAAACATCGCTGACAAGACTCAAAACATTACACGCAATGAAGAGACATCGCTGTAGTAGATGACAAGAGGACACACAAGCACGGCATAAAAGACCGTGAGCTGTGTTGTTGATGACTGTACTTCGACACCGGAAACGTCGGAGCGAACAGCGGATAGAAGACCAGACACTGTGGAAGTGGGAGACAAGACAAGAGGACACATCGCAGTCACAAGCAGGACCTAAAAAACTGTGCGTTGTGTTGTTGACGGCGATACATCGAGACTGGATACGTCGGAGGGAACAACGGATAGAAGACCTCACACTGTGGAAGTGGGAAGCGAGAAGGTCGACATATATGCTAAGATGGATGAGGGTGCCACGGTGGACCAGAAACGGTGGAAAATCAAGGGTGCTACGGATCTGCGGAAGTGTGGGGGGAACGTTCAGCTAGCATACAGACGTGGACGGAGGGAGCACGGACAGAGAGTGGAGGTGAGGGCAGCTCAGACGGAGAGGCGTTGAGGTGCTGATCACATGAATGACGACAGAGACTGAGATTGTGCCGCGACTGACAGGGGGACGAAAGGAATCAGTTCGTTCCTCAGGAATTTGCGAAGAGGGTCGAGGTTGACACGACGGACCGGAAACAGCGCACAATCGAGGGTGCTACGACAGGGTCGTCTTCCTACTCGGTGAAATGCTGCGATTTCTCTCAAACCCGCCCATCCCCTGCCCCCTTCGAAGCTGCTGTGGTCTGCCCCATTGACCTAGGGCCTCGTTCGATACCACTACAAAACCCGTACTTTGTAAGGGTGCCCTTACGGCGAAAAAGTGACTAATTTTCCCTTACCTCATTTTTCGTTCCACAACCACTTACAAAAACCCTACACTTAGGCGCACTTACATTCCAGGTGCCTCCGTTTGCGTTCTAATTGGCCGAAAGACACACCTGATGTTAAAAAAAATAAAAAATAAAAATGGTTCTTTCGCGGATGTAAGGGTGCCACCCCCTACTTTCAAGTCACCTCCACAGGCCTCCTTACATCAAGATCCGTTTGGGCTGGGGAGTCCTTACTTTTGTAGGGCGAGCCCTTACAGCCGCGAATGTGAAAACAAGTTCGACTTCTTCTTCATCGGGATTAGGGAGGGGTGGAACGATGAAAACCTTACATGTATTATGTAAGGGTTTTGTAGTGGTGTCGAACGAGGCCCCTAGTCCCCGCCACCCACCTTTCTCTCTAGCATCTCTCACTCTCTCCTCTACCCCCTCCTCTGTAGTAATAATTGCACTCGTAATTCTATTGATTACCCCTGACTGGACTCACAAATGTCTTGATTAACCCTGACTGGCCATGATCATCGGCTATGCGCACGGGTACATCTCCTAGATCATTAAGAGGGGCTCACTTTGCCCCCTTGAGGAAGGTATGGCATAAGGCCATCCATGTAGGCACGTCCGCCTTTTACTGAACCGAAGATAGTCCCTTGTATCCGGTAGGTGGCAGGATGACTACACCTGATCAGACTGTGAAACCACTCAAATGATGATACGAGCTGTTGAGGGAGGTGGCCCACCTCCCTCCCAGCATGCCGAGATGGCCAAGGGGACTATGATTGGAGGAAAAAATGCACACTGGAAGGAGGCAGAACCTAGCAAAACAGAGAGTGATGAGAAGGGTTGTAGGGGAAACTCGCATCCGCTGGGGGAGGAAAATGAAGAAGAAACTAAAAAGGAAGAGCTCCCCAACATGCCGAGGTTATCAAATGATCTGCCGTATGCGCATCGGCTCTTCAATTCCTCCCCCCCCGCCAACTTGCATAATGTACAACCAATTTCAAAGAAACATATGGAAGCCAAGACTAGGCTTTAGGCGGACAAAGAAGCCCTGGAATGCAAGGTGAGGTATGGAGAGGGGACAAACGGGGCCAGTAAAGGAGCCACGAGGAAGGACATACTGGCACCTCCTGACCATCATTCCCAGCACAACCCACCTTCATCGTACACCTCACAAAAGCCACCTCCCCGATTGTTGAAAGCATTGTCAGCCCCCGCACAGTCTGAGGCAGCAAGATCCACCACCCTGGATGCCATGGCCCCGCTCAAGAGCCACCTCATACAACAGCTCTATGTAGAGCCGGAGAGGAAATTCCAAGTCAAGGATGGCTATATCTACCCACACTCCATCTTCTCGACACAGGCGAGGGCCAAAAGGGACATGATCTATGCACATAAAGCAGTGCGCTTCCGATTCCAACCCCTACAATCTGCCCTGTCGGTCAATGAAAAAGTCAAAAGGATAAGGGACAGATTGGGGTCCATCAAACCGGACCGGCAGCTGGTGAACGATCACTTCCTCATATAGGTAGACAACCAGGACTGCATAATAGTAATCACCCTCTACTCTACAGATACACAGCTGCTGTTGAAGAACAAAACGCTACAATTCAGAGGGAGTCCGGTGCGAGTAGGGGCATGAACCCCAGCTAGCCCACAGTCAACAGATGAAAGAAGAGAGTACCTCATGGCATCCAATTTCTGGGTCGAATTTAGATTTGCCCGCTCTGTGTTCAGGGGGCCATCCTCACTGACTTGGG